GGGACCACTGAGGCAAACCCCCCAAATAAACTCAGGAGTTTCCCTATATATCCATACCAGACCTTAATCAAGCAGCCTGGCAGGCCAGGAAATGGGGAGTAGGCAGCCGTATATGACCCTCCTCCTGAAGCATTCCAGGCCACATGCCCTTAACATGGGGAGGATACCTTGCCACGGGGACCCGCCAGATAACTGTCCTCTCCCCTACATGAAAGAATAAGGGTATCCCTTACTAATTCACAAAAAAAAGGTGAATAAACCACACACACATTTGACATCTGTCCAAGGTGCAATTTCCTCATCAATCATGTCTTCTAGCGAAGTAGATCTATTATCAATCACATTGAACACGGATCCTGATTCCTGAATGTCCTGCCAAAACAAAAATGACCACATATGTGCACCTGTCGCACTCTGGCCCGCAACTGATAGCTCCATGGGCTGTACAGGGATACTGGCTGATGTTTTTGACAAATATGTTGGCAGATGAATGGGGCCAGCGATGCATCACTGATCGCTAGGATGCTGGTGGCTGCTAGTTTCCTGGCAACCAGGAGCCCCAAGCAGGAAGCTGAACACCCCATTTAGTTTGACCATTTGCTGCACGCCAAATCTCATCCCTACTTAAGACAGTGCGGGGACTTTATCAAGACTGGAGCAGACAGAATCTGGGGCAGTTGCCCACGGCAACCAATCAGCTTCTCTATTCCAGTTGTTTAGTTAAGATTTGAAAATGAAAGAAAGAAGCTGTATGGTTGCCATCAGGGCCGGACTGGCCATAGGGCAAACCGGGCACTTGCCCGGTGGGCCGGGCCGAACACAATTAACCTGATTGTGTTCGGGCCGGTCTGCTATGCCGACTCTGTGCAGAGCAGTGTCTACTGTGTGGTAGCGAGCAGAGCCGGCACTACCACACAGTAGACACTAGAGGGCGCTGGTGGGGGAGGCCAGAGAAACACCTCCTCCCCCAGCTCTCTCTACTCTGTGCTCTTTCCGGGGGTTGCTATATAAATTCCCCTTTGTGTCTTTACTAACCACTGTGCATCATGATTCTCACTACATGTAATGCCTCATCCTCTTCTACAGCCTACATCTGTGTACCCCCCTCTACTACGCCCATGGCCTTATGTCTTTTACACTCAGTAAGCAGCTTATCCATCCTTATTATACTTAGTGGCATCTCTCCTACACTTGGTACCTGGTACCTCTCTACTTCACCTAGCGTCTCATGCCTGTCTACTACATGCATCACCCTATGCATCTCTGCTACATGCAGTAAACACCTCTGTACTATAAAAGAAAACGGGCCTTGTACTTCTTTACTACATACATCACCTTATGCAGTGGTGTATTTTGGTTTTGTGCTGCCCTAGGCAAGACTAAACCCGAGCACCCCCCCCACTATTCCCTAATCTAAATTAGTCCCACCCCTTCCTGTTTAACCAGTTGACATCCGCGGTGTTAAACCCCCTTCCCATCCAGGCCATTTTTCAGTATTCAGCGCTGCGGTACTTTAACTGACATTTATTCCGTCATGCAGCGCTGTACTGAAATGAATTTTATACCATTTTTTGGGGACAGATAGAGCTTTCTTTTGGTGGTATTTATTCACCACTGGGGGTTTTATTTTTTTACTATATTAAGGAAAAATTACCGAAATTAAAAAAAAAAAAACTGTTTCCCCTATATTAAATGATAAAACATTTATTATTACCCAATTTTTTGGTCAAATATAAAAGATGGGGTCACGTCGGGTAAAAAGACACTAAACGTAGCTTATAGGCTTCACTTCCCCGGACTCACCACCACAGAGGTGCCGATGAGCATGATGACATCTGGATCTCAGCCCTGGGGTCCTGCGGAAGCTCCTCTGCTTCCTGAAGTCAGAGATTTGGGTGCTGGTTTCCCAGGGAGGTCCGGCGCACGAACTGCCAGTACATCCGGACGAAAGTCACACACACCAATACATTGCACAGCATGTTGACCAGCTAGAGGAAGGAGCTGCAGCCGGCATAGATGTAGGAGTAGGCGGCATAGGTGGACACGTTGGTCCCCAAGTCAAAAAAGCACAAGGTCCAGGGGTACTGGCAGTAATTTATGAATAATTTATAATATAATTTTTTTTTCTCTTATCCAACTAGTTTGGGGGCAGCATTTTTTGGCGCCCCCCTGGAAAGTGCCGCCCTAGGCAAATGCCTAGTTTGCCTTGCAGTAGATACACCCCTGACCTTATGGCTCTCTACTACCCAAAACACCTAATGTCTCTCTATTATGCACAGTTTATAATCCTTTGCTACTCCATACAGTGCCCTATCCCTCTCTATTACATGCTATACCCTATATCCCTCTTTTACATGCAGCACCTCAAGCCCCTCTCCTCTGTGTTCCAGGCTTTGAAGGCAATTACAACAAACAAGAATAATAACATACTGAACCTGAGTTCATTAGGCATTGCATGTTGCAATCAGATTGTATAAACTACTATGATTAGGTTGAGTGAAAATATCTTGACTATTACTGATTGACCTGAAAACTGGAGAGATCCCTTAAGACATGTGACACGCTCATATATAAGTCATTGCCAAGTGGGGGAAAGACTTATCGTAATGCTCTAGCTATTGACTGATTTTCCTATTCAATACACATCTGAAAACCTCCACTAAAATCCTGTATAATCGCCTTTTACTACATCTAGGCAGGGAAGCCAAGGACAATACCACCTACCTCTAGTGATTTGTTAGATTTACAGCACTTTGCAATGCAGTAAAGCCTGATTGGCTTACACTGCTGCACCTTCTTCTCCCAGGCTGAATATTAATGTGTAGAGGATTAGAGGAGCCTAGTATAAAGGCAAACGGAGGTACAGTTCTTTTTAAGAAAGTACTTTCCATGAACACAAAATAAAATAGGGTTCTTTGATAAATTTGAACTAGGAGAAAAAAAGAGATTACTCCAGTCAGAATCCCTGATCTAATACTTGGTCTAGGTCAATAAGTTATAGAGTGCTGAAGCCACTGATTAAGTGAAAAAGGACTGTGCGCTGCAAAGTACAGGTAAATACATGAACCTAGTACTTTATTTCCAAAAATCCATATTATCTAATTCAGTAAATGAGTTACCCAACCTAATTCTGTAAGGAATTGGTCTACCAGAATAAGATTGTCCAACTGATGGCTATTAATTCTGTCACTGGCACTAAAAAAGGGATGTTAAGTATTGCTGCCTCTGCTCTGAGCTGAGGACCACTACCCAGAAACCCTGGCACAGCCATGTCTGTGGCATACCGTACAGGCTGTGAAGGGATCCTGAGGGTGGGGCTTCCTGGAAGGGGGTTATCCCTATTAATAATTATATACATGTCTTTTTCTGGTTTTATTATAATACATATGACCTAATATTTTTGAATTGGTAATTGTAAAAAAAAATGGTCTGTTTAGATGTGGCCATCCACTTGACTTGTACTAGATTTGCAAAAAAATGTAACAACCAAATCTAAGCAAAGATTGACAAGTATGTTTATCATACTAGAAATGATGGCAACAATTACTGCAAAGAACACCCAGGAAACTCAGTAGAAGCCCGGGTCTACTTATACCCCTGTATGCATGTGATTCCTATTGTTTACTGGCATTGTTGGCCAATAAATGCAGATTTGTTTGTATGTTTTTCACTAAAGCCATTTAATTTTCAAACAATTGTAGTCCAGTTCTGTGTTAACGTTTTGGGATTTGTTTTAAGTAGAGGGTGAAAGGTATTTATTTTTGAACGGATTCCTATGACACAATATA